TTTGGTTTTTTTTTTTTTTATCGAAGGAAGGAGCCGCTGCCATTTGACCTCGTTCTTGGGCCGCTGTGGCCTTTGAGAAATGTGGATTTTGGGTCGTCCCTGGGTGAGGACCTTCTGCCGGAGGACAGGGCTCAACCGGAGTTAGAGAGATAACAGAGAAACTAATTTAGATGTCGCCAAAAATATAGATTTCTCGGTCCTAAGTCGGATCTCCAACCGCGGACCACAAGATGGGAGCAGGGACTTGATTTCACCCACGTTAAATAATGTTCCCTCTCTGAAAAATATCTTCCAGAGGCTGGAATCTAAACGCAAATCTGACTAATTCAACCCGTTAACGCGTTTCCAGCAACCCAAGATGGAGGTGAAGGAGAAGAAAAGTCCTCCCAGTTGGTTTCAAGAGCTGGTCCAGTCTGGGGAAGGGGGACGTAGCTTCTGGACGTCACATGGGACCCACCTCTCAGCTTAAAAAAAAGCCAGATGTTGGGTTTATCCTGCTCGGAAAAGCTTCGTTTTCCGCCCCAATTAACATCAAGCGTTGTTAATGACGTCTCTGGGTTATCCAAGGTGGATTTTAATTGGTGGAGGATCACAGGAGGTTGAAAGAGAGGAAGTTGAGGGCAGAACTTGACGGCCCGTTGCAACCCGAGCATGAGGTATGAGGCTGGAGACCCCAAAAGTCGCAGCCCGCCGTGGCTGCCCACCTACACCGGGACAGTTTGCCACCACCTTCTACTCCACGTGGTGGTTCTGGTGGGACGTCAGCTCCTCGTAGCTCTTCCTACACACGGAGAACTTGTAGGGAGCCTCCTCTGTGTGGGTCTACTGGGGTTTGATGAGCTTTGAGCTCGTGGTGAAGCCCTTCCACAGTCTGGGATGTCTACGGGGTCTCCCACTATGATGGATCCTCTGGTGGGAGATGAGGTTGGAGCCATCGCTGAAGCTCCTCCAGCACTTGGGTCACCCACGGGCGTGGTGATGGGTCGGGGCCCTCCCTCCAGCTGACGGTGCACTTGGACATTTTCGGCGTTGACCACCTCTTCCCCTGGAGAACAGCAGCACCGAGGTCCTCAAAGATGCCCCGGCTGTGGGAGAAGCTGGGCTGCATCATCTCGTGGTGATTCCCCAGCTCTTTCTCCCCCACCTCCAAGCTCTGGGAATCCTCCTCCTCCTCTCCGATCCTTCCAGCTCCACGGCCCTGAGGAGGATGATGAAGACCAGGAGGACCTCGCTGAGGGGTGAGAGGTCCACCAAGCTGAGGGCGTTGTTCTGGGGCAGGCAGGGAGGGCAGCAGCACCTCCAGGTTTCTCCACGGCTTTGGCCCACCTTGGAGACCTCCAGGGTTCTCCACGGCTTTGGCCCACCTTGGAGACCTCCAGGGTTCTCCACGGCTTTGGCCCACCTTGGAGGCCTCCAGGGTTCTCCACGGCTTTGGCCCACCTTGG